TGTTGTCCCTGGTAACATAGATTTTTACCAGGAAGCCAAAATATATCCGTGGGCAGCAAGACCAAATTAGATTCACAGTTTGCCAGCTCTCTCCTCAAGCCATAGAAAACAAATAGAAAAACGATATACAAAAATCCTCACAAAAGTAGTTTTTTATATACAAATCTCTGCAGTGACCAGATAACCTGATCTGTCTTGTGCAACATGGAAATGCAATGCTGAGGTTTCCCAGGGGAAGGAAGAAGGGAAGGAGTGAAGGTCATTTATGGAAAGATCTGGATGCCAAAGGATGAGTTCCTAGTAAGGAGAATAACTCTCCTGGAGAAGTGAGCAACCACAGTGCCAGCGTTCTGATCATACACTTCAGAGAATTTGCTCCATGGAGGCGAAAACTCAGAGATATGCTAGACTAACTTCCTTGGCTAGTGTGTGAACCTCTTTCCTACCGAAGGCAACAGGCTGTTTCTAGGCAGCTAAATGGTTGCCATGAGAAAAAGCGGAGCCCCAGAAGGAGCGAGTCTCCTGCTGCATCATCCCCAACCCCACAGGGAAAGATGACAAGGGTCACAGTCAGCTGTTACGTTCCAACACTCACCCAGGGATGGGAGGTGTCTCCGGAGGAACTGGAGACCTGTTGCTACCCAGGCTCTAGGTCAACTGCTGACTCTGCAAGGTAGAGGGATCTGTTCCAGTAGCAGGTTTTATCCTCAGCACAAAAGGGCCCTGTATAATAATCAGAAGGACTTCAAAAAATATCAAAATGGATATTTGCACCAGAAGTAAGAAGGTGAGGCAAAGCTGGACATGGAAAAAAAAAGCTGATCAGTGATTACTCAGGATATTATTTAGAGTGAACAAAAGAAGAACTTGAGGGCTTCTCTTACTTTTCCATACATTCTTATATGGATCCATTAAGAAATATCTTTTTCTTGATGCTCTAGTGTCAGGTCTTCTGCACTAAAAATTTAAACGAACAAACAAACACTAACTCGATCCTTTTAGTACTAGCTTTACATCCCTCTGCTCTGCATCTACAGAGCTGAAGTCTTCTCTGGCAATAAAGGTGCTCACGACACAATAATACCAAATGTATTGCGTATTTAGCAGAAGTTTGGACAAAGAGCAAGGATGCAAACATGGCCCATTGCAGCAGTACCAGAACGTGCAAGAGATTGTTCAAAGGCCATGGCCAGTCACATGCACCTTGCAGACAGACCACACATTTTATCCAGCCTAGAAACTCTGGGCATTGAAAAAGGCAATGATCACCAATACAAGTCTATTCTTGTAAGATAGACCTTCTCCACCTGTGATGTGATGCCCACAGTAATAGCAAACCAAGAGGAAAGTTTGAAAATGAACTCAACCAAATATCTCTGCATACCTCTCTAGAGAAAGGAGTTGGCCCGGGCCCACCCTGTGCATGGATGTGCGTGTCTGCGTACCAGTGGAAAGGGAATAATTACAGACAGTCGCTGTTTTTGTGTAAGTCTTCCACCAGTTTCATGAGTGTTCAAGTTGATTTGCCAGATGCTCCCAAATTCCCATACTGGGTTGGCAATTAGGACTGTTTGGAGGAAACTGTGTGTTTAGGGTATTCGGGGTGGGCCCTGTTGCCACAAGAGGAATGATGCAAGACCTTGAGGGAGGCCGTAGGCTCACCCTGGCCCCTCATGATGACTCTGGCGGCATTTTTCCCTGAGCTGAATGGCTACTTCTATTAGGACAGTGCCTTAGGCAAAGGACAGCTTTATAAAAGGAGGTTTGTTGTATCCCCAAATACCAAACTGTGGATGAACATGGCCATCTTCCAAGCTTGTTGTAAAACTTCAGATGAAGAGAGAGGCTTGAATCTAATTTCCCCCAAAGGGGACGAGAAAAATCCAAATTGATTATTCATTGTTGTGGGCCCCTCTGACCTACAATATAAATAGCTAATGTGTTATAGTAGTAAGCCTCTTATGAAAGAAGAAATTAAAGTAGAGATCATTATATGGTGGTTTCATAGGGCTGGATGGGGGTTTTAATCATTGAATCCAGCACTTCACTTTTTTCTTTCTTCAGTGGAGCTTGTGGGTAAAGTGACTTGTGTAAGTTATATGAATAAAAATGGGCAGAGTCTAAGTCAAAAGTTTCTCCACCCAACTGCATTATTTCTCCTCACCTCTATGTCATTCCCTGAATTAGCTGTGCTGTGCGGTGAAATGAGACACTGCTCAGTTAAGAGTCCCTGTCATCTATTCTAAAACCGACCCTCGCGCTAACCTGGATGGTCATTTATTGAACTGTCTCTTAAGCAGCAATAATGATGGTTGGAATAAGAAGGGAGGAGAAGGAAGAGTGGGAATCGGGTTTTCTCTTCAGAAAAGTCATGAGCAGCTGATGTCTGAGCAGCTCTGAACTCACTGCATCCAAGGAGACAAATCCGTCCACGGTGCAACGTCCCTGGGTTGGCGCTCAGCAGTCCTTCTTGGTTTTAGCCAGAAATTACCAGATCCTGAGACCGTTTATCTTCTCTGACAACTAGATTTACAAAACTCTCACTTCAGAATTCCTTCAAGCCTTTTGTTTTCAAACTTAATCTTTTTAGGCTCCTAGACTATCATATCTTATTTAAAGAGCAAGTATTACAATAATTGAAAAATCCCATTTGTTCCTTTTTCTTGGCTTGGAGTGAATTTATTTGGAGAATAAGCAAAGCCAAACTGGCAACCCACACAATTGTATGGCCCCAAGCACTGAAGAGCAGCGAAGTGGGAAGAGCCACCTCCATTGGGTGTAACTGCTGAGCATTTAGTCATCACACCAGGCAAGAGCTGCTGAGGCTTGTTTATCAAGAGTCTGAACTATGGAGAATTCTCTCTGAGCATGTGGGTACCTATTTGGATTCATTGCCATATTTCTAATAGCTACTTGGTTCAGATCATGAAGATCTGTATTAGCTACATGATTGCCTTAATCCTCTGACCTTCTTTGCATGGAAAATATAGCACAGACAGAACCCTTGATTCAGACAAAAGTGAAATATTGTACCATAACTTTTGCTATTGGGAACAAAGGGAAGTGTGGTATTTGCAAAAGCATGGCAGGCTTGGGTTTCCTTCTGGGGATCCAGTAGGTGAGTTACCCAACTCCAAAGGGGCTTCTTGACTAGATATAAACTTGCAAATGACATACTTCTCTGTGCACGAGTGGAAATGATCTGAGACCCTCTATTCAACCGGTCGTTGGGATTCCTGACCTTACCTACCAGGAGTACATCTCCCCATAATCTGAATTTACCCTAAGCCTTTCTCAGCTTCCACCCGTCCAAATCCAAAAGCTAGGCATTTTGACAACCTTTCTTTAGACTTTCCTGAGCACCCAAAGCTGATGAGCAGTTGAAGAGAAGTAAATATTTATATTTTATGGAACATGGCCACTTCTGCAGGCAATGAGGCTCTAGGTTGTGTTTCCACACACAATAGGAAGTGAAGAGTCAAACCTGACAGCTCCCTGGCTCAAAACTCACCATCTGAAGTCTTATATTGAAGGTCTGCGTGATTTAGACGATTGCCTTGATTGTCCGATGCTCTCTGCATGGGAGGCACATCCTCAAAGATCTAACGTAAAGCTTTGCCTTGAGTGTGATTCTTTTCACTGATAGGACTTGATTCATTGAATTGTAGTAGGTAACCAAATGATGACTCCACTTGGGTTTCCCAAAGGACATAAATGAGAAAGGAGAGAATAAAAGTCTACCTCGTTGGTTTTCTCCTGACAATTCTGATTCCTAAAAATAGTGAATGAGTTCATAAAAAACGGTGTTGCCAAAGCCCTGACTTAACAGAACCTAAAGGACGCAGTGTATGTATCTGGCCTGCCATGTCTGTATACAAGTATAACATTTATGTATGGTCAAACATTAATGGACTGTTACAAGCATTCATATTTGTGTTGGACCTATTAAAATAAATCTATGCATATAACTGACAGGTTATAATATCCTGTTTAGAAAATGGTTGTTAGAGGTATATTCTGGATCCACTTGTTCTGTTTATGGCACATATGCTGGGCAAGGAAAACCCCAGTGGGTATGGCATGAGAAGAATGAATGAGGCCTAAAAAAACAGAGGACACAGTCACACGCCGGCTCTACATACATCCTGGGTTTTCAGGCTAGTCCTGAATTTGAGACGTCGCTTATTTTTACTGATTTGTTGAACTTCCAGATGAACTGATTTCCTAAGTATATTCTCATGAAACTTATTGCATAGTTTCAAACCTGAAAACCCTGCTTTGCTAAGCTGTGCACCTAGTTTCTTCTGAACACGCTGTCCCCTTATATATTTGTAGGTTAACTCGATAACTAGAAAAAAGCTGAAGACAAACGAACAGGGAAGACTTTTAGGCAGTCTTCGGAAGACGATCCTGAGACCACTCCTTTGAGTAACACGCCAGTATGTAAAAGTGCTAAGCTGGCGTTAAACAGCAAAACCACAGGCTCCTAGATGCCTTGCCTAAATCCTTCTCCTCACTGTAAAAAAGCTCTTGGGAGCACCACTTAACGATGATCCTTAACAGTTTCACAGTTAAACCCAGGAACTGTCCCTTTGACCCACGACATCTGCTGTAAAGGATGCATTTTCCACGACTACATTTCAGCATGCCCTTGGCCACCCTCTTAACTGTCCATCTAATGAAAATGAAGACAAATGTATTTAAAAAAAAAAAAAAGCAAAAACTACTTAATACTCCTCAACACTGATTTTTATCCCCCAAAATAACCCACTAGAGCTTAAGAGACAAAACTACTAGAATCTCATGTCTCTTGTGTGTTCCAAAGGTATCTGATTTGGAAGAGAAAAGTCACAAGGAGAGGGTAATAAAGGGCATGTATGTCCATAAACACCCTCTCCTAAGAAAATCTGGACTCTATGACTCTTCCTGAATATCTCAGCACCCATCTGCTGGCAGCAGAAAAACACCTTACCCTCACATTGGACCAAGGTTCTACACACGTCAAATGTGCTTATTTCTCAATGATTCATGCTCAAGTCCTCAGCAAACTCCTAAAGCCAGCAACCTTAGGAAAATACTGTGGGTTATTCAACAGAAAATGTTGAAAAATGTAGCTTGGAGGTGCCTACAGCATGCAAGGCACCGACTGGGCTATTCCAATTATATTATGTATTCCCTCAAACTTCCACAGCCTTGAGAAGATTCCATCTGTGAAGTTCCGTAGAGCCAACCTTTTTTCCTACTTCATGGTTCAAGGCTGCCCTGACTTTGCCATAAGAATGTCACCTTTATAGGATTTTGCACCTATGTTTGTTTTCTGTTCCTTTCCACAGAGAAGACTGGGGGAAAAGATGGGCTCTGCTTCCAACTGTGTCCTGTAACTGGTTTTAGGTGCTGTGATATAATATAACAAAAAGCTTTCCGCATATTAGATAACTAACAGTGTTTTGGTTTTGTTTTTATCATGAGATTAGTATTGAAAGAGGCACAGCCAACCCGACTATCCTCCATCTGTGAGGAGAGTAAAATGATTAAGCCTTCTAGTTTGATGAGAATATGACTGAAATAAGTTGGGGATTAAGAACGTCTTTTTTTGGTAGAGACCCAAATAAGAATTGTATGAACGAAACAAAGACACTGAAGCCTAGATCAAATAATGTCACTTGATGTCACTATGCCAGGTGATGCAAACGAAACACAAACAAATTTGAATCTTTGACTCTGGTTAAAATTTATGCTGACTGTGCTCTCTTACTTTTGTCAATATATACAGAAGTTATATGTAAATTACATCCTAATCCCTTAGCAAATTTAGAGCAAATTATGAACCCTACTTTGAAATTCAACAATTATTTCCATAAACTAGATGGGGTAGAGCAGAGACTCAGTGGGTTCCATAACCGGCTACCTTTAAGATATGGCTCCCACTATGACTCTCTTTGAAACATTTAGCCATTTAACTTAAAGCGTATACAGAAGAGAAATTGTACCTTAAGATGGGTACTTTGTTTTAATCAACACAAGGACATACGCTACAAGACATTTAAGGGGATTTACTTCCGAAGCCTTCTAACAGAATCTCTTGTGTGTTACAAGGTGAAGCATGGAGAACATTGGAAGGAGTAACACACTGACTGTCTGCTCATTAATCCAAATCCCTGGAATGTGCCACACGGCTTTAGTCGTGTCCCCTGGGAAGAGAGCATCCACGGTTCTGCATCGTGAGAGAAAAGGGAAGCTGGCAAGAACGCGTCTTCAATTCAAACTGATTCCTCCAGCGGCATCCATTCAAACAATAATACAAGTGAGAAGATTAGATGGTTACCAAGCATTATTTGGCAAAGACACAGCACCGTGCCTATCACTGACTCACAACAGATCCTCTAAGCCTCAGCTAACAGATTAAGTAAACATAGAAATATTTTTTTTTCTTTTTAAAGAAAGCTTGTTTATATCCTCTTTTACCATAAGATACGCTGGGGAGTTTATTCAAGAATTTGCTGACAGTCATATCCTTATTTTTCACGTTTCCAAGGTTCTTCTTCAACACTGCAGTCGGCTGACTTTCCGCTGGCTGCCAGAGTTACCTGAAAATAATTATCATCAATATCCAGCTTACGGGCCACGAACCAGAAAAACCACCTGGGGGGTTATGTGGAGGACCACCAGACCCAGGTTCTACTACACGACTTAAATATTAATTTTAAACGTTGTTCCTTCCAAATTGATTTTGAACTGGCCTTAGTTTTCAACACTGATTTGCAAACATTAAAAAAAATATACATATTTGCCTTGGGGGGTATTGAGCGACTAGAGATACTTTGCAAGTTGGGGGATAAATAACTTCTACTATGCTTTTAGGGTTATGAGGGTGTCTAATTACCCATAGACCCCCCCACACAACAATGCAGTCCTGAAAACATAGTGCCCTTGTGCTACTCCAAACAACCACAGAGAAAAAAAAATCCAGAACTAGGCAGCTAGTTCTACTCATGCACGTGAAAGGTTCAGTTGCAATGAGGCCAGGTGGAGTTTATACACGTCCAATTTTCAAACCCTGATGGTCTGGCTCTACCATATAAGCTATCCAGGCTTTAAAAATTAAAAAGGAAAGGAGGGAATTAAAAGGCTGAAATCAGTATCTCTAAATTATTTCATTGCAGACATTTATTAATCAACTATAATCCCCAGACTGTCAGTATTATGCTTCCCTGGCTCTCAGCGAACTGAACCCTTACACAGAGTGGGAAGTTTTCCCCTCCACCTCTAAGTCGTTTTCCTAGCTTACCTTCCATCTGTCTGTCCTCAACGTCATGTGCAAACTTAAACCCACGACTGATATTCCACATAATGGAGAGACTGGATTTATGGAAGCATTAGGATATGGAGACATGACAAACGCAGCAATGTTTGAAAGAAATCTGGCCTTCTTCTTACCCAAGTGGAAGTGAGAGGCATGCATTACACACACAACATGCTAGGAACAGAAAACCTTTCACGAACCAAGCAAATGAAAATAAAAACTACTCATTCCTCCGGTCCCCATGAGGCCCCCGCATTGTTTTTTTTTTTAAAAAAGACCATGCAACAAGCAAATGAAAGCATCACATGCAGTTCTTCTGATTAAAATTAAAAACATCGCATAACTTCAAACTACGGTTATAAGGCAAGAGTTTGCAAATAGAGAGACCAACATGACAGAACAATGCTTAGAATGGTTAAAGTTGTGACCAGAGCAGCAGCAAACTTGTTTCCCCTTCAGCGAACTGTCAGGAAAGACGGCCAGGGACAAACTAACTGCCTGGAGCAAGCTGCCCGTTCACCATGACCTTGAATGTACCTATTTGGCTTTCAGTGATGAACCAGATCAATAGCTGTGCAACATTATGAATCATGGTGCCTTTGGAAAACCAGACAGAGCTCAGGTGGCAGGGGCAGGGAGGCTGTTGTTTTCAAATACCAAGACCTGTGTCTCTGAAGTAGCTGGGACTGCAGCTTTTTCGGCATTTCCTTTTTCTGGCTGGATTAAAGGAAGCAGGGACTCCGCTCCCCCAGTCTATTCCACCCGGCTCCGTCCCAACACCTGGGTAATGGAAGAGCCAAAAGGGGAGAACTGGCAGTAAGCAGTGATGTCTCCCAACTCAGCTTTTAAAACAGTGAGACTGAGAATGGACCAGAAGGAGGTTCAAAGGCAGAAGTAGATGGGACTCAGATATTCTGGGAAAGCCTTCAAATTCATCTCCACAGCTCTGACTGCCTCCTTTGCATATAGGTGTCAACTCAGTTAACTGGTCTAGAGTGAGAAGGGTCGACTGGCCTCGCCTCACAATCTTCACTGAGCTGAACCCATCACTTCACTAAAAACTGCAAACCGCCAAAGAGTTACTAAACCAATATGGCCGTTTCATCATTTCCATGATCTGCTCAGTTTCACCATTTGACCATCTAAACACTAATTCACCAACGAGTTTGCAGGTGGTTGGTTTGGTGGTCGATTACCTAGAAAGACTGAGCCACTATCTCTATCAAACTGTCCAGCAAAAAAGGTTATCTGAATTAAAGCATGGGGTCGAGATGCTAAAAGTATACACTCAATAAATATTTCTGAACAGCCTACTGCAGGCCTGGCACTGCTTTAGGGCACAGCAGTGATAAACAGGGACACAGTCTCTCTCATGGGCTTACTTCACAGTGATAGAGACAGCTGACCAACATTTCCCTGTCCAACAAACAGGGACTGAACTGTTTGCTAAAATAAATGAAGCACATTTGTCCTGATATGCTTTAAGGGGAAAAAAAATTGCAGGAAGTCTGAAATCTAAAGACATCTCCATGCCTATACACTTTCCTCAAAACTTGTCCTACACCATATCGTTAAGAAGCCTCTCCTGAGATGCTCCAAAAGGGCCGCACCAAAGGCAGTTAACCACTAGGACTCTTCTTATATATAACTGCAAAGTTAAAGAATATATGTGGTGATTTTATTTTGTTTCCTACTACTATTTTTCCTCATAGGGAAGTAATTGCGATCAAGCTGTATCTCCACTATACAACTGCACATTCATCTTGCTGTCCTCCAGTGCCTAACTCAGGGCTTTGCCGATTATGGGCACTCAATAAAACTTGACTAATAATCAAAATATAGGAGGTCATAGGAATAAGATGGGGGTGCTCAATTAAACCCCACAAGGCACACGATGAATACTTGTTAAATATAATAGAGCATAAAGCTATTCCATGGAATGTTGACCCTTGTTTACCAAAACTAACATTTTGATGGCGAATAATCCAGCACAATCACTGAGGTGTGGAAAACACGAACTTTCCAGGAGAATGGAGTACACCATTTAGGTGCATCTGAATTTCTAACAATTTTAATTGTTTTCACTGAGCCAATTAATTTACGCAGTTGCCTCTTGATGGGTGGGGTCCCTCCCTAATTTGCATCAGAGCCCTGGTTTACCCACACATGTAGCTTATACAGAGGGGATGAACCAAAGATGGTGGCTGCACCTATGATACAGTCCAGTAGAGGGGATTGCTTCTGTGTCATCCTTAGTTGTCTGGCAGAAGCCATGGCATATATTTGGAATGACCCAGAAATAACATAGGGAGAAATTAACTATTAAATGAGATCCGTCAACAGGAGTCAAAAAGGTATCAGAAATCTGTGTTCGGTTCAGATTGTCCTCAGTTGCCACTTACAACCCTTAAGAGTTGACACTGCCAGGGTTTCTCCAAGTTTGCTTCACTCTGGTCATGACACTTTGACAATGTCAAGTTAGTTACAATGAAGGCTAGACAGAGCCAATCAAGCTTGAAGACTTAGCATCCAACAGCTTGGAAAAGAGTCTAGAACATCCATGCTTCAGGAAGAATGGTGCTGCCAGGCAGTATGTGACATATAGTGTTTTTTTAAAGCCATCTATGGATAATTGTCCTGAAGGAGAGTTATTCTTTACTTGAAATTGCTTCCCCGTTCTTGGAGCAGAGTGATCGCCAGGTGAAAACTCACCTTCCCACAAAAATAATGAAGAGAAAGATAGCTGCACAAAGTCATGTGGGCACACTTCTGACCAATACATGATATACAGCAAGAAGGAATATTTGTGCTGTGTAAATCAAATGATTCTGGGTATTTCTCTTGATGTTTCACTTGAACAGAATATTTGAAAGCCAGCAAGGCCCTAGAAACCACAAATTCTTGAGCATAATATTCAAAGAAAACTGATTGAATTTGTGGAGTGGGTGGACGGGGGAGTCAAAGTGATTGTTTTACATCACGTGGATAAAACAAGCAACCGATTGGCTCTTTCACCATTAGACTTGTTGATTCCCTGCCACGTTAGACACAGAGTTAGATGATCTGGGACTCATAGACGCTTGAGTTACATGATTCTTTAGAAAAATAAATGCGACAATAATACATGCAGGGCTTTAAGAAACTGAGCATGCACTTTTATATACAGGTCTCGATATCCATGAATGGGAAAGGTACCTTGCACTCATCTACTATGACAGAGTTGTGTGCAGCATAGACACATTGGTTGGAGTTGTTTTCCCTGTGGTTCTTCATGTCATCATAAATGGATTGAGTCTTGGTCATTTCAATATCTTCATGCACTCGGTGCTGGGAGTCAATGGTGTCCAGCTCAGACTTGGAGAGGTGATAGACAATCCCAGCCCCAAAAGAGTCTCCCACAACATTGACGGATGTTCTCATCCTGTCCCTGGGGACAAAGAACAGGACACGTTTAGTGAGGAAGCAGTACGATGTGATGGTTGAGAGGTCAAGGTCTAGAACGGAGAGACCTGGGGTTGAGTTCTGGCTCTACCTTTCCCTCTGCCTGGTCTGGGGCAAGTGACTTAACTTTTAGGAGCCTTGATTTCCTTGTTTGTCAGCTGGAGATAACAATCATACTCCTCTCATAAGCTCGTATGAAAATTAAATGAGACAATGTATGTAAATTGCTTAGCAAAATGTCTAATGAATGGTAAGCGCCCAATAAACAACAGGAAAAGAGAAAGGAGGAGGAGGGGAGGAAGAATTAGAGGGAAATAATGTGTCCAGATCTCAGAATTAGCTCCCAGACTGCAGCCATTCCTAGCTGTGTCCAGCAAGTCCTCTTGATTTAAACTGTTCTTCAAAGATTCCAGATTACCTCCACTTATTTTATTTACTAATTCTATAGGAAAGTGCAACCACCTGTGAATTCCCCCATAGTAGAAAATTCATCTTTTTTGTAAGCATCAAAACAACACTGCCTTCTCCCTGGGCCCCAGTCTGTCCCTAGCACACACATACACAGCTGTTGGGTAAGAAACCCACTCACAATTTCCTCCCTGACCTATATGTGTAGTGCCTATGTGTCCTGAAAAAAACCAAAATGCTTTCTCTTGCGTTCTCTGTTAATTAAAAAAATAAATAAAATCTTCCAGAGGGCCTCTTGAACCAAGAAGGGTTGAGAAAAATCCTTCCTCAAATCTTGTTTCTCAGGTTCTGACTTGAAAAAAATAGGATGGTTGATAACATCCCCTCTTAGAACGTCAGCACCAGGAAAACTAATTAAGTTCTTAAGAGTAAGTTGTAGTCTCTCACCCATAAGTTTAAATCAGTGTGAAGAGTCCTTTTGACCAGGCTTATGAGATACTCAAAGCTCTAAAAAGAAGGATGCTGGAAAACCACAAAGAAAAGAAAGAAGAAGAAGGAGTTTAGGTAAAAATGCTGAGACATCTTAGTTCAGGGCACTCTGGTCTTCAATTTGAAATAAATAAATAGGGCTTCCTTGGTGGCGCAGTGGTCAGGAGTCCGCCTGCCGATGCAGGGGACACGGGTTCGTGCTCCAGTCCGGGAGGATCCTACATGCCACGGAGCAGCTGGGCCCGTGAGCCATGGCCGCTGAGCCTGCGCATCCGGAGCCTGTGCTCCGCAACGGGAGAGGCCACAACAGTGAGAGGCCTGCGTACCGCAAAAAAATAAAATAAAATAAAATAAATAAATAAATAAAGGAAGATACTAGAATTGGTTTAAGGCAAAGTGGAAACCTTAATAGGTTCTTGGAACTAAAGCCTAAAATAAATTCTAGTTGCTATGATCAAATCTATTTCTCATTAGAGAACAGTAATTATGAAGTTGTACTAGGAGGAGTCTGGCCTTGTTCTCTTGCAAGGAACTTGGGAGCCAGCTGGCCTTCTGGTTTCAAGCAGGAAGATGCTGCCCATGAAAAAATAAAGATCAGAGCCCAGCTTGCACTCTCAGGGGCATCTCTCCATCTGAGAAGGCTCTTCCCCTCCCTTCCGCTTTAGAGAATCTGCCTCAGCGTGATAGTCTAACATGAATGAAGACTGGGTGTTGAGGTCATCCACAGAATCAGGCTCTTGAAATCAAGATCACTAAGAAGCCCCAGTATAAGGAGATGAGAAGGAATATGTATTAAGAAAAGCATGGACTCTGGAGGCAGGCTGACCTGGATGAAATGCCAGCTTTTCCCCTTACCTGTTGGACAACCTTGATCATACTTAACATTTGTGAGCCCCGGTTGTCTCATTTATAGAATGGAAATAATAAAAGTGTTCCCTACATAAGAGTTGTTGTGAACAAAATGCTTAGCGCAGTTCCAGACATTTAATAAGAGCTCACAAAACATTAATTTTACATGATGTATACTTTTAATATCACTATTAATCTTATCAAGTCAATTCATATACATTTTTGGCAGCTCCTAGGTAGAACATCCAAACATGCCTGCTTAAGCTACTCTCTACCCTGAAAACATTAACCCTATTTATAGCCCAATTCCTATGGCAGCACACCCAACTAAACAGCTGAGTTATTTGTTCATCATGCAGTTGTAGTCTACTTTGTTGCTTTTCAACTATACTTTCCATCCCTCCTGGTCTGTGCTCTGAGCCATGCACCCAACACCCCTGATCAATTGTTAAATTCCAAAGAGCACTAAAGTCTTGGAGAGGAATGCTTTGAATACTCACTTATCTCATGGCCCAGAAGAATCTGCCTTATTGGCAAGTAGAGGGACCAAAGGTAATGGTGGTGGTGATGATGATGGTAGCTGACTTTTATTTGTATAGGAATCTACCTTATAGATATTACCTCTATATCCTCATTTAATCCTCACCACAACTCTACAAGAAGGACTATTATCCACATTTAAGAGATGGAAACACTGAGGCCCAAAGAGAATAAGTGGCTTCCCAAAGTCACACACCCTAGTAGAGTCACAGAACCATATTTGGACACAGGCAACGTGAATCCAGAATCCCCGTACAGATGAACTGGTTTGCAAGGCAGAAATAGAGACACAGATGTAGAGAACGAACATATGGACACCAAGGGGGGAAAACAGGGGCCGGGTGGTGGTGCTGGTATGAATTGGGAGATTGGGATTGACATGTATACACTAATATGTATAAAATAGATAATAAGAACCTGCTGTATAAAAATAAATAAATAGATAAAATTAAACTAAAAAGGATCCACTGTCTGCCATGTGATGTAAAGCACCCAGGAGCCAGGCAGTCCCGATTTTGAATCTAGCTCAGCCACATATGAACGGTGTGACCTGGGTGACTTCCCCAACCAGAATTTTTCTCATCCAGTCAAAATACCTACTTTACAAAATTTGGGGAAGATAATGCCAGTTCCTGATCCACAGCTCATACACATTATGTGCTGTCTCCTTCCCCTTTTGGAGATAAGCATCACTCATATCCCATCACGGGGACAAAAGCACAAAATACTATGCTCAAGGGTTAATTACTTTTCCAGCTTAATAAAGCCATTTCCACTCAAATGAGTGATACAAGTTCACAAACTCCCCCTTCCTCAACCCTTGGCTTTCTTTGACACCAAACCCCACTCTTCTGAGCAGTCACTGAACCAAGTTTGGGGAATAGCATTTCTGGGTGAGCTTTCTCCAAATGTGCACAATGCTCATGTCTCTTCCATACGCTCAGGTCTCTTTGAATTTGAAAAGGAACTCTAGCCAATGGAAATAGTCACCAGGACAGTAATGGATGGAAGACAGAGTTGGGTGAAATCAAAGCAGACTAATGTTTGATGCCCAAATCAACATGCAAAGGGCCCTGGACTTAGGGCTAAAACCCTAACCCAAGTATTCTAACTCTTTCACTTCTTACCTGAGCATGAAATATGGAATGAGGCTAATTCCAGCTTCACAAGGAGTTGCGAGGGTTAAGTGAAATGAGAGACACAATGGGAATGCCTTAAATGCTCATTAAAGACTGCAGGAGCACATAAGCCTGAAAATGGCTAAGTGGAAATAAGAGAAGAATGTGGACTCTAATACTTGCTGAGTTCTTTGTTAGTTCATTGATTCATTCAACAGGTACATAACAAGCATCTTAGTGTGTGCACTATGCCAGGTGTCCAAGCAGTAAAGAGCAAGAAAAGACCCTTTCTTTGTTCTCTTTTCTGGTAGAACCCACACTCTCTTTACCTGTCTGTATCCCCCACTAGAGCAAGATAAATATTCTAATAGGAATAAGTGCTGCGTGTTCTTGGGTTTTGTAGGCAGGACAGTTTATCTACACTTGGGCCCCAGCAAAGGCTTGAATAGAAGTGTTTTGAGTCAGGCGCTAAGGGTGGGTCTGAGATAATGAGCTAGAGAGAAGAGAGAACTAATACGTGTGAAATCTAAGAGGTGGGCGCCCTCAGGAGTGTTCAGGATGACTAGCGAGTACAGCGAGAGGCAGAAAGTAAGGACTGACTAAATCACGTATAGCCTTATCGGTCAAGTGCAGGAGTTAGAACTTCATCCCGTGTGTGACGAGGAGCCATGGAAGGGAAGGATCACGCTTGTTCCATTGTAAAAGATGGCAAGACTGAAAGATCAAAATCCACTTAGTGAAGATGTGGGGAATATGGACAAAGATGAATTTGAGAGACATTTAGGAGACAGAATTACAGGACTTGAGGACTGATTGGTTATAGAGAATAAAAAAGAAAAAGAGTGAAGAATTCCTCCCAAGTTTCTGGTTTGGACAACCAGTGGACAGGACTACCACATGTAGGGGACACAACTGGTTGGGGTGAGAAAGGTTCTGGTATCATGTCCCGCAAGTGGTTGGGAATACGGACTAAAGGTCAGGAGAGACAGCTGAGCTACAGGTAGGAAATTGGGAGTCAACACATAGAGAGGCCATGGATGGGAGCCAAGGCAGGTTCAGTTCATCCTTGGGGAGAAGCAGAGTGAGACAAGCAGGCAATCTAGTCTAGAACGCTGAGGGACACCAATGTTTAAGGACTGGGCAAAGGAGTAAGAGCCTGCAAAGGTGGCAGGAAACTAGAAGAGCCTGGGGGAAGAGTGTTTCAAAAATAGAGGCGTGAAGGACAATACCCATGATTGCCTGGAGGTCGGGTGAGATAAGGGAAACCAGTGTCTCTTGGTTTCAGCAAGGAAGAGGCCATGATTGACCTGGCAAGGGTAGTTTCGATACGGAGGCAGGGACAACAGAAGCCTGCTTGCCATCACTAGAAACTTGAACGAGAGATGAGAAAGAGGGCATTACTATGTAGAATCAACTTATTCAAGAAGACTGACTGAGACGGCGAGGAGACAGAATGGTAGACAGAGGCAGACAGAAGACAGAAATTTCAGTTTGCTTTTGAGGCCACCAGGGGAATATCTGACCAACTCTGGGGAAGTCCGATTCTGGCCAAAAGCAGGATATGGGGATTTATGGTTCACAT